TCCCCCCATCCCCATTCTCTGAACCTATCCCCCCATCCCTACTTCAGCCTTTGCACAAGCTGTTGCCACCTTTCTCCAACAGAGCCTCTCTCTGGGCTGCCCCTCCCATCCTTCAGGTCTCTGTCTCCATCTTGGGGAGGCTGAGGCTGCCCTTAGCTGTGGCACTCCCCATTTCCCAGGTCACACTCCAGCTTCCCTCCACATCTCTCATCCCTACCTAACACTGAGGCCTTATTCTATTCCCCCATCCCTCCCAGAGCAGGGTGCTTGTCTTTCTTTGTTCCTGAGGCCTATGGCAGCACCTAGCACACACACACACACACACACACACACACACACACACACACACACACTCACTCACTCCAGCCTGCTGAATGAACTGAGTGGATGAGTAATGAACGAAGCTGCTAACATTGAAGTGATTGCTGTGTGACAAGTACTTCACCAGGCAGACTTTGCATCTCATCCAAATATCAAAGCTCAGCAGAGGCAGCTATCATGGACCCTATCGGACGTGCAAAACAGCTAAGGCTTGAAGAGGTGATGGGCCCCTGGTGTGAGCAGGGGCAAGGTCTGCATTACTCACAGGAGGCAGCTGGGTGCCAGCCTATACCCAAAGGGTTGGGACATGATGGCAGTAGGGCTCAACTAAAGCCCCATTCTTTATTTTTTTTTTTATTATATATATAACATTCTGCCTCCATGTACACCTGAAGGCCAGAAGAGGGCACCAGATCTCATTACAGATGGTTGTGAGTCATCATGTGGTTGCTGGGAATTGAACTCAGGTCCTCTGAAAGAACAGTCAATGCTCTTAACCACTGAGCCATCTCTCCAGCCCCTAAAGCTCCATTCTAGTGTGACCTACTTCCTTAGGTTTCCTGGGACTGCCCAGGTTTCAGTACTGGTGGCAAATGGGCAGGTTGCCACCTTGTTTCTTACGCCACAGGGTTGGCCCACTCCCCTCTGTACCTCTGAGCAAGCCAGTGCTGCCCTTATGGGCTATGACTGGAGGGGTTGGTTCCTGCCTTTTTCCTGTCCTCAGGGATGGTGGCTTCATCATCGTGGGCCAGCCTATGAAGCCTGTGCTCATCAAAAGGCTCCGATGGCCTTTTCTGGACTCAGGCAAATGAAAGAAAATACATTCTAGATAATACACAAGATGAAAGCTGCCCTCACCTAGATGTTCTCTCAGAGAAAACACTTGCTCCCTCTTGCCCTTTTCTTTGAAG